CTAATAGAAACCAATCACGACCACTTTTCATATAGTAGAAGCATGAAAACTAAGATATTTTAAAAAATCCGCTCACTTATTGCTTATAGTCTAAGAATTTTATTTCTTATAGTATCATTGCTATGTGTTTCGTAGATAACTTGCGTCTTGAAAATCTTCGAAAGATTTAATTAATTAACAAACGTTTAAAGTTTAGTTTGGCTTTATGATTTTTTATGAATAGAAATATTTATGAATATCCGTAAATCAATAAATACGGTTAAGTTAGAGATGATAAAAAACTATTTATTTCAAAACCACCTTAGCGTCGGCATGTAAGGGCAGTTGTTGTCCTTTTAGTTCCGTTCCCCTTTTATAGCTTGAAATGACCACATCACTTAATTCCATATAAGAAATGCTGAAAGCGGCCATGATTTCGAAGAATATTTCCTTATAAATATTTTAAGGAGGTTTCTCAAGATGCGATGTTGCTTTGACCAGGGCTTGAACCCTGGCCCTGCAGAGTGGTAGCACGCGCTGCTAACCACTACACCACAGCGGCTACAAATATATATATGTATATATGTAGTATATATGTACATACATATCTCGCGTCAATTATCTTTAATTTTAAAATTTTGAAATCTTCGATTGCCTAAACACTAGTCAAAAGGCAGAAGACGTTCGATTACATAAGGGGTATTCTCTGAGCCCTTGCACGGTGCACAGATTGCACGGATTGCACGGCAAAAACCGGTTTTCGTATGGGACAGCTTTGCAAACCGTGCAATCCGTGCACCTTGCAAGGGCTTTGCAAGACTCAGAGAATACCCCTATACATTTCAAATATATATATTTTTTTAATTGCCAGACATTCGCCCCAATCGCACTGCTTGGTCAGCAGCTCGAACATTGACTAGAACATTGTTTGAGAGATTTTTTGTTCTATTACGTTCGCAAAATTAATAGAATTATTTGTTTCCCTGCATTGATCTATATGACCTCACCCACTTTTGTGTTAATGGAATTATATACGCTACAAACATTCATAAATAAATACTACATACATATGTATATGTATGTACGTCGTTGTATGCCTATTGAATTTAAGTGACAGCATTCTTGCAACTCGAAGAATTCCATACATTTAACTCGGTAAAATACTTTTATATGTACATATGTAGCTATTGAAAAGAAAGTGCATGTATTAATATTACCCCTTTTCAAGGGCACGTGTAAATAGAAATTTCTTTTTTTCCCCTCAAGATTACTTCTCCTAACCTTGGTTGGGAGAGGTGATCCCGACTAGTCTGTAACCTTTGGTTAGACAATGATTTGAACCTAGGTCCTACCTGGTGGAATTGCAAACCTCTGGCCACTTGGCTTCGGCGGCGATATAGTGCGGGTGTTCTCAGAACCGAAGTTGTGAATCGAAGTTTTTCGCTGTTTTTCTGGTTAACTTTTTCGTTGAAGGCGCTGCCATTCTGAACTTCATAGATTAGTTTTTTTTCATATTTACAGAAAACCAAACAAATTAACAATATTAAGTACAGCAATTATTTCAGTTTTAATAAATAAAAATTAAAAAATATAAAAATTATAGTCATATGTGGGCTGTAACAGGCCCATTTTCCGAAATTCCAAATAATGTTATTTCTTTTCAAGGTGTTGTTGTTAGTATCAATTTTGAGTAAATTAGCGTCCTTAAATTTTGAAACATTGAAGTTTAAAGCATTTCTAAAATTTACCGTTATATGAAAAGTGGCCGTAATTTTAGTCCGATTTCTATAACTTTCAACGATTTCCTTCTATGTGTCAAGCACAATAATCTTACCGAGTTTGTTACATATTGGGCGGTGCCACGCCCATTCTCCAAAATTGTATCATACACGTACTGCTAGCTAAACAATTATTGCAAGCGCTAATTTTGAATGAATAAGCTTTAGTATTTACTGATTTATCGAAGATTTCGTATTTCTCTAAATTACCGTTGTATGGGATGTGGGCGTGGTTAT